ACCTCTGGCCAACCAAAAGTCACGTTGTTAATGACGTCACAGACCCATGCAGCTGCAGTTCACACGACACACACCACCACTGGCACCAAGAGCAACGATGGGAGAGAGGCTGGTTATTGCGGTACAGGACCACTAGATGGTGGTGTGGAACTCGCCCATCTCCTTCCTCAAAGTCAATATGGGATATACCCAAACACTCCTTTGTTTATTCTTCTGTCTTCTTTTTTTTGCAACAGCATCACAACAAGCTCATCATCGCTTGAGGATGTTGTTGACTCAATTTCTTTGTTCTTCTCTCCTCCGTGGTGTGAAAGAACTCGTGCCAAAGACAATATATATTTATTAATTCACTTTGCAAAATTTATACGCATATTCGCTTCGCGCCCGGTGTGTATAGGCGAAAGCGATTTTTCAGCGAATATTCGCATTTTCGTCTCGCATTTTCGTCTCGCATTTTCGTCTCGCTTTTTCGCTTTGCTCCGCAAATTCGCTGGTGTGTAAGGACCTTTAGTCAGGTCCGCCACGCTGACAAGGCGTTCCCAAGCACAATTTGGTATTTCGGTGAGCGGCGCAGCCCGGCGTAAGTATCCCCCCTCCCTAACTCAGCTACTCCCAGTGGCGTAAGTCGTAGCGAGGGAGGAGAGAGGGCATGGAGTGGGTTTAACACAGCCAAGACCTGTTTTCACCAATCACATTAAGCTCCTCTCCTTGCCTTTAAATCCGCCACCGGCAAGGCGCATTACTATTTTCGTGAAGTAGTCAAAGAGATCAAGACATGTCTTAAGACAGTAATGCCACACGATGGTGACAGAAGGCAGCTCCTCAACAAGTGTCACTGTAAGCACTGCATTGGGCTTCCTCCACACTCTCTCATATGAGCACAGATGGATTTGGTGTGTGTAAGTTTAGACCCACTGGTAAGACAAACACCCTTTTCCACTAATTAAGACACTCACATAAAGTTGCATATATTCAAACCTCAAGTGACAAAGGTGGGTTGTGCGCACAGATCACAACATTAACTCCAAAAATGGCATTAAAATCGAAACCATCTGTGCGTAAATGATGCATCGCGCGCTGTGGCCTGGCTCTTTCTTTCATAGATGTTGGCATATAAAATAAATTTGGCTCACAAAACTGAATATTATAATATCCGTATGTCAGCTTAAAGTAGATAACTCATCTGAGCACTGAAACAAATCATCTGGCCAGCCACTGCAGCAGGACAGAGAGAGGACACAGAGACATGTCCAGGTCGAGCTGCGCGAGAAATAAGAGGAAAAGGAAGAAAGAAAAGGAGGGAGACAAATTAAATATCTTGTTAACTTCATCATGTGTGTCTGTTTACTAGATATTTAATTTAATTTAATGTGGTTTCAGCTGTGTTGATTCGGTCAGGTTGTGTGTCCAAACGCGTGCCAAACGCGCTCATCAGATCAGATATAGATCAGAATATATCTATATAGATCTAAATGTATGTGCTGACTCAGATTAATAATTGTTGATGATTATTTATTGCACTGAAATGTGCCCGATACTGTGGAAACCTGCCGGTGAGGCATCGGTGACGTATGCCGATACGCCGTCGGTCTACCAAAATACTACTAGACCAGCTGCGCTCTGCCTGCGCTGAAAGCTGACCAGGTTTGAATCGGTGAGCTTTCAGCGCACTTTACACGCCACTGGCGAGCACGAAAGTGTCACTGCACCCGCTGATTCTGTCGACACCTCCCCCTGCCACGCCACCACGCACAGCTTGGCGGATCTCGGTTCGCCTCCGTGCGCCTCAGTCCACGAAAGTACCAAAATGGCTGTACGCCGGGCACCACCAGACGAAAATACAACTGCGCGGGGTCCGCCACCCTCAGCCGCCTCACTGGCGTACACAAAAATTGTGCCCTGACAGTATGAGTATAGAAAATAATAGAAGAAAATTGAAAATATGAGATATACTGACTTGTGTTCACAAATACTTGATTTATAGCAAAAGCTAAAAGTAACTTTTTAAACACCAATATAGCCCACATCCATGACGTTACATAGAAGACAGGGACTTATCCTGCAATGCAGTTACAATGAGCTGCAACAACCTCCCCGTCTCCTTGTGCAACAATCCACGTTTTCAGGGCTGTTTCACTCAATCTCTGAGAGTGGTTAACCAAGTAACGTGAATAGTTGTTACGTTAATGATGCGAAACTTGTTGCGTACTGCTGATGCTAACAGATGCTAACAATGGAATAACCATAAAAAACTTACCCTGGCAAAAACCAAATGAAGGTCGTTTGGTAGTATTTTTGAGCCCAGGTTGTGCACCCACTGACAAAATAATTGTAGGCATCCATACTCTTGTACGCCTTCATTTGTTGTTTTGTGTAGAACGACGTCTGAGGAACAAGGTAATTGGCGATGTCCACTGCTTTAACTGCAGGCAAATGCATCGGTTGAAAAAGCCGTCTTCTTTAGAAGACATGGATCACCTCCCGCATATTTGTTGACTTTTTCCAGCTATCTTTTTCTTGATATGGCATCTAAACCGGCGCAATACGAGCTTTCCCGCATCTCCTCCATTGCAGTCGGTCGCTTCCTGCCCTCCATATGGGCTGTGTCCGAAATGGCATACTGCCTACTATCTACTTACCTACTCAAGCAGTACCTACTGCATACTGACTACTCAAAGATGATTTGAGTATGCCGCGGCTGCTCAAGCGTTTACATACAGATGCATACTAAATACCCCAGAATGCATTTCGTGCCGGCCGGACGCAGCGCAGGGAAAATTTAAATAGTCCTACCACAAGCTACACAGAACGACTGCATTCCGGATAAATTCATTCAATAATAATATATTTTTTTATATTTTCTCTAGCAAGAAAGTAAGTGTTTACATCACGATTATGAGCCCAGTTGTTTGAAATAGTGGCTGTTTGTAAATTTGTCTCAGCGTTTTCGGAAACCGAAGCGTCCGCTTGGTGGGTGTTTGCGTCTATTTACCGTAAACACCGGGCAGCAGCAGCTCCCCCTTCACGTTTCCAAATTATTGCGAAGTGTTTTCATAATCAACATCTACACAACACAAACCGGGCGGCAGTGGATGAAAAAAATTACACAAACATCCATGGTGATAATGCTATACACCACCTGCTAGGCATGTGATGAGCAGCAGAGGGCTGCAAAATGACCAACACACAACATAATTATTATGACCTTGTTCAGTTATTCCTTGGCAAATACATCATTTACCGACATTCTTTTCATGTACAATGATAATTTCAGAAACCATCAGATTTTCAACCACAAGTAAGAATTAGCAAAGCTCACATACATTGTCATCTGGAAACTCCCCCGTTTGTATATTCTGAACCATGTGCTCTCTACCAATAATAATTTTTATTAATCAGAGGTCTGTGCTTAATATGAGTGCCCACTTTGATGATGCATTCAGAGATGAGAAGATGCTCAAACTTGATGTAATAAATACATCTTTAATAGACACTTAAATAAATAAAGTCAATTCATACGTATAGTTAAAAACATTACCTATAATCCTAATTTAAAATACAAATAAATCTGGTAAAAAGATCAAAATATGATAAAATGATAAAAATTGTGTAATGTATACTGACTAAATATTGTTTATCTATTTATATATATATATATATATATATATATATATATATATATGATTATTATTGCAATCACATGCCATCTATTTCTTTTCAGCCTCAGGAAAGAGGGCCATATTACCAGCTAAGGTGCGCAATGCATTGTGGGGCAGAAGCAGTACGTGAAGCAAGCTCTGTTCCACACTCAGAAATCGAAGCCGATTGAGTATAGATCCGGGCATTTCTTGCATACACAAAATTCGCATACTGTACAGTGTGAACGCACTGCCTACTCAATTCAGAGGCGGGGTTAGTAGGAGTAGTAGGAGTAGTATGCCATTTTTGGCCACAAGGCAGGCACTCACCGAGGTTAAACGATAAAATATCAACAAGTTTAATGCCAATAAGTATGTTATTGATATCAAGGGGACCCCTCTGTATGTAAAAATCTATGGCCCAAATGTAATTACGTTTTTTAGTCAGGAATTGGGATCAATTTTTTTAACCACGGCTCACTCCCACACTCCCCGAGGTAAAATATTGTATCAACGAATTTAATGCCAATACGTGTGTTAATGGTATCGAGGGACTCCTTTATATGTAAAATGATTTTAATTTTAGTATGCTCAAATTGTAATTACAAATGTAACTACGTTTTTTTTAGTTAGGAATTGGGATTGATTTTTTTTAGCCATGGCCTGCTAGTTGGACGTCGTCAGCTGTAGAGGCCCGGCAAAATTTATTGTGTGACTGAGTTATGAATCACTGATAAATCATCATCATCAATCATATGTTGAGATGGTTACTTATGGGCTTTATTTTTGATTTCAGCCTTTATCAGAACCCAATGTTATGTGGAATTTATTCTTTTTAGACTCACATAAGTGCTATGTAATTTGATTTCTGCTTATGTATACCATGGGATGATAGAGTAAAAGGACTGCTACTTTTTAAATTCTGTCAGCATTCAAGGCATATGTTTAACATGGAAAAATGTTATGCAGGCCATGCTGCAAGACCAAAACATTGCACAATTGTTTAAACAGCTTATAACACCTGTTACTTACCACTTTATTGTATTATTTTCTCTTATGAAAAAGTAACATCTGTTATCTAAATCTAATCTATTTGAACACTGCTCCGTTGGATTCGGCTGCTTGCGGTTGCTGCTGCCGCTTGCACCTGGCTGTGGCACAGGACTACCAAGGTCTGCTGATGGTGGACGAGATCAGGATAAATCCACCTTCTCCTTGACCTGCAAATTGAAATGTAACTTATTATCCTACTCCCTTAACACAAACTGACATGAGGTTGACACATTTAGCTTGTTCTCTAGGTTCGCGTTGGCTAGGGGTGGACACCGTTGGCTGGTGGCTGCTGCCAGCGGCTGGTCGCAGCTACTGGAGTGAGGGACCACTGGAGTCTGCTGGTGATGGAGAAGGGGTGGAAAGCCCGAATACGTCCATGGCGACCAGTAAGGGGCTTGGCAGTGGCCTAGATGACGTTGCCATTGTTGCAGTAGACGTAGCTTGTTTCTTTTTTCCCCTTTTGCTTTGGCTCTTGCTGCTAAAGCACCCTCTCTGTGTGTCTTTCTTTTTTGCAGCTGAGATGAACTTAGAGACAATTCTCAGCCTCAGCCGGATGTATCTGGTGAGAATTTTTTTCTGAAGCATATGGCATGAGGGAAGGTTGCTGTCAAGTTTCATTGCCGCTTGTTCCAGCATTGCCACTGCATTGGTTGATTCAATGAGTGAGTCAACTGAGGTTGCCTGGAACAGCTGCTCCACACTCTGAATGAGACTGAAAACCTCATCAGATGGCCGGTATAGTGCCCCCCTTTTAAACTCCTTCAATCTAAAAAGAACATCTCTCTCACTTGTATTTTCATTTTCTATTAGGGAGCTCTGGCATTCCTCACAAAGTGAGCAGCTGATGACCCTCTTCACAATGTATCTTGCCAGGTGGTAGAGGACACAGGACTCTGTTTTTGTGACGTCAGGTGGTGATGCTGGGTCATCCAGCTGCTCCAGACTCACCACTGGAGGAGGACTGCAGCTGCTTCTCTTTAAATCCAGGAAGTCTGCCAAATGGTTAGATCCGTCATCCAAGTAATTGCCAGTAGGTACTGTGGTGAGGAACTGTCCAACAGTGACAGCTCGCAGTGCATAGTGGAACCCTGCTGGTGTTGGGACAGGGTTCCTCTGACGAATACAAGAAAAGGTGTTCTCCAGGCAGTCCTGTGTAAACCGACTTGTGAGAACAAATTTGTGCCCTTTGCTAAACAGGTCTTGCTGGACTTCCAGGATCACTCTAGTGGCCATCACAAGTCCTGTCTGGACTAGTTTCCAGCTGCCCAGGTGACCGATCTTCAGGCCCCGAAACAGGTGGATGCGGTCCTGGAGAAAGTGTATGGCTTTCTCATACTCCTCCACTTTGAACAGGCTGAGAGCAGTAACAACATTCTGGGAAGACATGAGGTCAAACCAGTGGTCCACCTTCTCCAAAAACCATGATGTCACAAGGTAGGATTGTGGTCGCTGCTCCTCCTCCACAAGGTACCTCAGGGCAGCACTCGTTGCCTTGCTGAAAACTTGCATTGCAGAACTAACCTTCATTTTTTCAAAATGGTTAGGCTCAAGGATGGCACGGGACAGTTTTGGTGCCAGTTTAAGTTCCATGCTCTCCTGGAAGGAGATCCTTTAGGGGATCAACAGATACGACACTGGACGCCAGCTGCTCTTTGTGCACCACATCTTGTGGAATGGTGATGGTTTGACCCCGGATGAGGGCACTTCTCAAATTCTTGACAAGATGTGGAACATCAGCCATGAAATAGAGCCACTTGTGTTGCTCAACAGGATGGGGTATCCATGGCTTATCCTGGGTCACCCCAAATGACTTCCACATTGCCCGATTGGGACTCCCCATGTCACTGGTGATGTTTATAACATGAAGCCCTACAGATGCTGCAGCTTCTACGATGGCAATGATGATGGGCTGATAAACTGAGCCGTCTGCAGAATTACTGCTGTAGTGGTAAGCAACAATTTGCTTCCAGCGTGTTGTTACACCAGCAAGCATAAACACACAGGCATACATTGCTTGCCCTGTGTGACCAGGAAGTGTTACGTTGCCAAATAGTCTCCCCGTTCCCATATGCAGCTCCACGCCTGGAGTGATGGCCATCTCGTCCAGTGTGAGTACACATTCCCTCTCCATTTTGTTCATTCCCCCTGCCTTTAGCTTTAAAATTTTGAACACTTCCATCAACACTCCAGGCTCCATCTTAGCATGCTGCATCCTCCGTTGTGTAGTCCTAATGTCAGGTAGTGGGATTTTCATTTTTTGCAATGTTTTGTAGCCTGTTGTGCCAGCAATTTGTACAAATTTGTATGGCTTTTTTCAGAGTCTGATTGCTCCAGCGTATCCCTCTCGTCTTCTCTCTTCCTAATGACTGAATTTGGTCTGTGTTAAAAATTGATTTGAACTTTTTTTGAATTAAACTTTTTCTTTCTTAAACCCAAATTTATTTGCTTTTGTTGTTTAAGAGCCCTCTCCGCTCTCTTTCTTTGGAGTGTCTCAATCCTCAATTGCTCTCTTAGGTCATCAACAGTTGCCCTGTCATCACTGGTCCCTGGATCGCTTGCCCCTGTCACAGTGGCTTCTTCACTTGCTGCCCCTGACTGACTGTCCCTTGGAGCTTCGAGGACCTCACCAACGTCTACCTGTGGGCTGCCTACTCCTATTTGCTCTGCCTCAATTTCTGCCTCATTTTCTGTAATAATGACATGGTATTGTTTCAGTTATGCATTTGCTTCCTTTACATCACCACCTTCTTTCATGTCCTGTTTCAAGGGATAGTTCGCCCTGATTTGACTAGTGTTGTTTGTTTTCAAAAGTCAGTGTGGTTTATCAGCTGCTACTCAACCCCCCCCAGGAGTCCTGTGAGCGTGGTCCTGAACAGGTTTTGATGTTACAGAAAGTAGTTCCATGTAGTTGAAACTGAGAACTAAAGAACTGCGCTCACAGGACTCTGTGGGCAGTGAGTCGCAGCTGTTGAACCACACTGACTGTGGGAAACAAACAAAACCCTTGTCAAATCAGGGCCAACTATTCCTTAAATCCAAATTTTTCTTTACAAATAGATCAAGATGCCTGTAGAGACAACTGTGTATCATAGCAAAATCATTTCTTGTACAGTAGTTGTGGTCATCGCTTGGCAAGTGAACCTCTGTTGAAGACGTGTGCCGTTCGGGAGCTCTCCTTCTCTTTGGCCTTTGACGATAGCAAAATAAGGTGGGTACGGCATCAGGTTTTAAGCTGAGGCGTCCTTTTTTTGTACAAATAAATTGACTGTCCTCAAAATGCACCTGCAGGGAGACTCTTAAAATCAGTGTTAAATGTATACGCAAGATAGAATTGAAATGTTGTTCTGTCTGCTCTAATAAAATGACCTTATAAATTTAAACTGTTGTACGTCACATTTATAAACATTTACCTGACATATCTTTCTGCTGTTGCAGTTGCCAGTCTTGACATCAAAATTTTGTCTGCTGACCATCGCCAGCCATCTCTTCTGTCTCTTCTTTTCTTTTGGGAACCCATACATTCGATGGCCCCTCTCTGAGCGGTTGGTGCACCCAAATGCTGCACAGCCAACCATCACTGGTCTCACTGTACAATGGTAAACGTAAAAATAATTAGCTGTCAAGCCTCAGATGCTGTGTAAAAGTGGACAATATGTCCCTTAACAGTCATCCCTGAGACTTGCATTATAAATCAGAGCTGAAAAGATGAATACTTTTATAACATTGCTGGACATTCTGAAGAGCTTCTCTGTTATTCACCGCTGCTGTAGTGTGGAAATGTGGGAAAATGTGGCCCAGTGCTTCAACTGATTTTCAAGTGACCAGGGGCCTTATGTATCAATGCTTGCGGCGCAAGAAAACCTTGCGTACGCCAAAATCGGCACACACGTCCAGATTTATCATCGCGAAACGAGCATCGGTTCCAACGCTAATCAACGCAAAGTCAGGAGGTGGTGTAGAAATTGGCGTTGAGCCGATACTTGCGTTGACTGTGATTCACACTTTGGCGACGCTGTGTGGCGGTGTTTGGTGACTCACTATGTGACAAGCGTGCACCACATCCCCGTGGCCGAGCAGCACGTCGCCCCACATGACGAACCAGCAGCAGACGGAGGGATGCGAGCTGATCCCTGCCGGGCCGCCGTCCTTGCGCGGGAGAATCTCATCGCCACAGTGTGAATGAGTAAGAAGTGAATACACAGTTCAATGAGCCAAATTAATTTATTTTCTCCACCAGACGCTCGAGGACATTTACGAGCCGGTCCAGCCGCTCGTTGATCCCCGCGATCCCCCTGATGATTTCTTCCTGCGATTGCAGGACCCCCTCCGCGAGGACCCTTCCACTGCATCCGGTCGGTCCAGCGGAAGCGCCGCGGCTGGTGGACGCTCCACCGCTTGTCGGCGCGCTGGTGCTGATGCTGGTGCTGGTGCTGGGGCCGGGGACCGGGGTGGCCCGAATGCCACTGGTCCTGGCCGACGACTCCGAGCCGGCGGACGGGCTGCCGCGGGCCGGGGTTCCGCAAGCCGGCGACACGGCCGACACATTGATTTCTGTGACACAATAAAAAAATTGGTTCATTTTAATTCCTGCTTCTGTGTATCTGTTGCGTTTACATCTCTCTCCACGGTAGCATAGGTAATGTAATCCAGTATTTCGAGGTCAGTTATGCACATGACAGTTGTTTATTGCATAAAAAGTTATCGAAAAATGAAGTTAAGGGCGAAGTATAAATCACGTCTAAAAATAGACTGAATCCCGACGTTGAAATGAAGTATAAACTTAGACTAGACGTCTAATATACGTCTTTTGCTCAGTGGGATGACAAAGCATGTGGACATTTGTGTGACACGCCACTTACCCTATAATAATAATCGCCACCACCCGCTGCTCAAACGGTGTGAGGGTCTCCTCCCCCGGACCCCCACCTGTCTGGCCAGTACTCCTCCGGAGGGCAGCTGTACGCCGCTTGACCTCCACCTTGAGGTCCGACCACTTTTTTTTAATCTTCGCGGGGGTGCGTGTCTCGGAAACCACCGCATTCACCCTCTCGCAAACTTTCTCCCACTCCAAGCGTTTTTGTTTTGCACTGACGCCACTGGACAGGCTGCCAAACAAAACACGCTGTCGCTCCTCCACCTCCGCCACCAGCACCTCCACCTCGCACGCCATAAATTTAGTTTTTCTTGTCATTTTGTCTGCGTGCGAGGACAGGGAGACCCTATTTAAATAAATCTGCATATTTATAGGAGGGCGTAACGGGGACGGGCCCAGTCACTCCGACATCTGCGCTCAATTCCACGCTGATTGGGATTCATCAAGGAAACACACGTGGATTTCGGCGCCCGCACACATTGATACATACGGATTTTTTTCAGCGTGACCGACCTTGCGTGCGCTCGTTTCTGGTATGAGTTCCACGCAAGTATTGATACATGAGGCCCCAGATGTGTGTTCGAAAGTGGTAATAGCTGCCTGTATTTGACATTTATTTTATTAAATGTGTTTATATGTAATGTTTTGTATGTATCTGTGATTGCCCAGTAGCATTGGTGGTAACAGTCAACTCTCACCAGTATTGACATTAAATCATACATTATAAATGCATACACGTTATTGATGACACGTCTGGGGCCTGTTGCATATAAGTAGGATAAGGGATTAAGCCGGGATATGTTGGTTATCCTGGATCAACTTATCCGTGATCCGGTTGCATAAAAGTAGGATAGGGGAAAGTGGGATATGTTATGACATAAGTTACCATGGAGACTTATTCTGTGGAGCTAGCCTGCTAGTTCCAGGATCTGTTAAATCTTATCCCTTATCTCAGTCAGCAGTCACCACAAATGGACACTAATATTCATGCCACTGCCCACTACACATTGTTATCACATTTAACTACACCCGCTGTCATTATTTAAACATTTGGGATCATTAATTGCAAATTTTAGATAAATGATTTTGCTATTATTAAATCTATGTATACAAATAAAATACACAAAGAGTAACATGATGTTCCTTTATTGAATAAGGATGAATCAAAGCAAGTAAACCATCAGCACCTTTCATCATTGCATTTCAGGTACATTATGTGCATTTCTTCTAGTCTTAATAATACAGTTGATCATTAGTGTGTGACTTCCAACCAATCATAGCACTTAGGTAGGATGGCAGATTGCAATTCCACAGTCTGATTTAATGGCAAGTCTCATATCTATGGTAGCTCGAACTGTGCATACATTAAACAAGCAGACACCAAAATCTCATGTCACCTTTTATTTATTGTTCATCTTCTTGTAGCTGGGGAGGAAAGGAGAATAATGATAAATGCATTGTTTGTGTTACAGTCAGCATACAGTGTACATTGAAGGCATAACTCACGCTCAAGTTTTTTTATTTCAAGATTTAATTTTCAAGATTTAAAGTGTCCTTTTAATCTCAGACTCCACAGAGAGGTCTGCCATTTGTCTTTTTTATATTTAATGTTGACCTCTGACAGTTGAATTTGCTTCTTTAGATGTGTTGCATAGAGCTGTCTGATGGCATGCGAGCTCTGTGAACACATGACAATGAGCACAGCAGGAATTTTGCAGAATGAGAATATCCTTCCATTAATACTCACTATTTTGCCAGGCTGGCTTTCACCCTGCACAGCATCTGGGTCCTGTTACAGAAATGACATTTTGTGTGGGAACCACATGACAACTTTTCATCATTATAGACTGAATAAGTACTTCCACAAGTTTTACATGATACCTCAAGCCTTCTTGAATCAACAGAGACAGTCTCCTCATCAAAGTTATCATAATCGTCATCATCTTCTGCTGCTGCTCCTCCCCCTGCTTTTAATTTGATTAATTAGAGGTATCTCCAGATTAGTAACGATTAATCTTTATTAAATAACGTGTCAAGTGAATGAAAAAGTCCAAAAGTAAGAAATTATGAAAGCTTTTATCATTCTGTCCTCAGTTTACAGTCACAAAAACAGCAATGAAACTGTTATTTTAATTATGTTCATATAAATATTACTTATTGGGGCTGTCTTTTTGTTTTTGGGGAATTTGTTTTATTTATTTATTTTTTGTAATTTTAGGGATTTTGTTGCATTAATAGGTCAAAAAAATAATTATGATTAGAAATTCTACTCAGTTGATTCCACAAATTAATTTACTCAAATGAAATCACTAAACTTGACAGCTTTAATGAAGAATGAAACAGAATGAGCATAAGGAGCAAACATGGATTTACACAATTTCTCTCTGCAGTCATTTTCACTTGCACTTTCAACTGTTTCATAATCAGAGTAGATTACAACTATGTTTTTGGAGATGTTAATTAACTATATGGATTGCAATTGTGATGTTTCAGCGGAATAGTGAGTTTGTATTTGTGCAATACTTACGCATTCAGGCGGTCTGCAATTCTCGCTGTTTTATGGCAGTGGCGGTGTTTCCTTTTTTTTTAAATCTGATCTTTTACCTCTTCATACACTTCCATATGTATATCCTGCTCCGACAGGGAGAAGTATGCGTCTCTGGTTGTCATGGTGAATAGGTGAATCTGTGATCGATCGCGGGGTTTTATTTAAGGAGCCAGGTGCGCACATTTATCCAGGATTGCTTTCAGCTGGCTTGATGAATCCGTTTCTTCTCATCCTGGATTAGCATTTATGCAACCGAATAAGCCTGGACGCTCTTGTTTTGGATTCGTTGAGCTCAGCTCAGTCACTTATCCTGGATATCTGAATCCTACTTTTATGCAACAGGCCCCTGGTTTTACAATATTAGTTTATTTTGAGCCTTCTCATAAATTTTTTGATTGATTTTTTTCTTGTTTTCACACACACACATACACACACATACACACACACACACACACACACATACATGTGGTTGTGACATTCATTTAAATTGCCCACATAAAATCTCTGAATGAAAACCATCATTTATCATCATTGTCCAATGTCAGAGAGTGTTCAAGAATAGCCTAATGTTGCTAAATAAGAGATCACTTTGCATTAGGTTCCTTATTCTCCAGTTAGTGAAGCTAGCAAAGTTTCCTTCCAAAAACACACCCAGACAAACTTGTCTTATTTCACTTTGCTTATTTATTTATTTACTTATTTATCTTATGTCCATTTTGTCATCCAGCCACTAAATATACGTACGTGACTTTGACGTGTACACAGTAATCCAATAAGAGTTGCAAATGTTGAATTATTACGGTTCATTTTAAAATTTACCTCTCAAATGCGCGCTCACTGCAGTCTGTCCCGTTGAAAAGCATGGACAGCGCAGGCTGCGCTTGGAACTATTGAGGGGTACATGAACCACGTGACCGCTCCGCCGGTGAGATCTGAAGTTGTCGCCATTCTATTTAATCCACTGCTCTGACAGAGGGGAGAGGTTTTTGTGTGGGGATCAAATCTGCCTCAACAGCTCAGTTTTTTCCAACTGCTTCTCAGATCGTCAGCCATGCCTTTAATCATGGGACTAACTTTTTCTGTTTGTTGATTTTATTTCTTTTCTATTGTGTTCCTTCTCCTTAGGTTTTCTAGTTTATTTTCCTTTGCTTGTGTTGTTTGTATTTCTTTGGTTGGAGTTCATGGGAAGACTTAAGGACAACAAGGCACGATACA